AACAATGAATCTGAAATGGGAGCATAAAGCCGAACAAGGTTGAGGAAGGAAACCCGTAGGCAGGGCTGTGTATGACATCGCTGAGTAAAGACTTTTGAATTATAATTATTTTAGAAGATGAACAGGACTTGATAGAACATGGCTGATCTGTTAAAAAAAAAACACACACACACAAAAAAACAAAAACAGCAGGCTGGAATTTCTAAAATTCCAGAGCCTAGATCCCACCGCTAGTGATGAAAATGAAGAGGAACAGGGGATCACACTCATGATGGATGGGCCTCCCGCAAGTAACCCTACACTTCGCGACCCGCTGCAGGCTGCTTGGGGGGGCCCTGTGAGGAAGGGCTAGCTGATGTCCCGAGGAAAGGTGCTGCAGAGGCCGAAACAAATTTCTTAGATTTGGGGATTTATTTGTAGATGTCGAAGGGGTGACACCATGATTCTAAATGAGGGCAGCCATCACGTGGACGGCTTTTCTTGGGGTGGAGGGTAGAAAGGTTTTATAGGAATTCCCTACTGGCACAAGGAACGAAGGCATTTACCTTCAGGGTGCCAGAGTGGTTTTAGGGTAAAAGCAGAGAATACTTTTAAATAAGGGAAGGTATATGGTTACGCACATTCACACAGATTTTGGAATCTTTAATGACATTATTCTAATCTGGATCTAATCATGAGCAACTTCAAGGAGAAACAGGAGGGAGGTGAGGGCATTCTAATTAGTGTATGACTGAGACTTCATTAGCTATAAAGTGCTTTGGTGAGCAGCAGCAGCCAGGGCCGGAGACCGGGGCCCAGGAGGAACCCAGGCAGTAGGGGCCGGCCTGGGAGCCCGAGATGGGCGTGGGGGGGGACACAGCACAATATTCGAGAACCCACCGAGGAGACTGAACCGTAAAGCTCTCTTGGTTAAGTCCAAGGAAGGAAAGGGCAGGAAAGGCCAATGTGATTAAGGAAGGCTATAGCGATTAGCCTGAGAAGTCTAAGAGGGAGGCTTAAAATGTATAAACAGTGACTTAGAGATATAAACTATTTATAAAATACAAGCACCAAGAAGTTTGGAGAACTCCGACAACAGAGGAATGGTTCTGGCGAGGCCTCGCGCACAGCACTCCCCCACTGTGGCCTGGGGGTCACGAAAGCAGGGGAGCCTAGGAGACTGAGGGGCCTTCTAGAAGGAGCAGGCCAGCCTCTCCTTTTACAGGTTCAGGAATGCAGGAAGGACGCCACTGGCCTAAGCAGCTCTCCGCATCCTCTCACGCCCCCCCCCCCCCATCAAGCACAAAGCAAAGGAGGAGGGGTAGGGTTAGCGCCTTGGGGTCAGGAGGTTCAGGGCAGGGAACCTGGCTTCTAGCAGAGCTAGAGAAGATGAAGGGATGGAGAAGGGAAGATCTAATTTCCTGCTCTGGGAGGGCAAGTGTGAGAAGGTGGTGAGAACAGCCAGGGGAAAAAAAGGGGACGGTTTCAAGCTCCACAGCACACAGAGATAGAGCTGAGGGACGCTCTGACTGATATTTATCCAAGTCTTCTGATGACAGATCAGATTCCCGAGGTCTGGAACGTGTTACTGAGCATGATTCTGAACAGGCGAGGAGATAGAGCAACCACGGGCCGTTTAACTTCACATCGCTTACAGAAGAGCACGCGGGGCAGACGTTCAGGGAAGAGCGCGCAGGGAACAAGCCACGTCGCAGTGACTGGGTTAGAAACATGACACAGGTTTTCACTGAGGGAAGGTGCGGTTATAACTAGTCTGTGAGACAGAAGTTAGGGCTCTCTTGGTTCTAGGCTTTTAGCTCATGGGTTTAATAAAGACTTCCACACGGGACTAGGAATAATATAAAATGAGTAAATAAAACAAACAAACAATCATGACCGGGGTTATTAGAAACGCGCTGACAAGAAGAATGGATGTTAGGGACAAATGATACAGTGAGGAGGACATTTCGCCTGCATCACTGGCAGGGTTTTGATTAGGATCATTTTATGAAAAATTGGCGATTTCAATTTTGGTCTGAGTTTGTTGCCTTGCCATTTGCTAAAATGCTCTGCAGAACAAAAGGGTTTTTTTGTTTGTTTGTTTTTCTCTGGGAAAAAAAAAAATCTTAGTTTTTTTTTTTTTAAATGGCTTGACCATTTGGTGTGGTTAAAAATTTGGTGCGTTAGGCTGAGGACTTCACAAATACAGTTTTTGTGAAGTTCCCAAGTTAAGAATTCTCAAAACAAAAAGAAGATAACTTTGTGGTTATTCTTGATCAAGAAATTGGCCAGGATCCATTTTCTCATATGGAATTTCCACACTACTGAGTTGCTTCAGAATCTTCAGAAAGTCCCTCAGAAAGGATGAAGATCACAGTAAAACAATAGCGAAGGAATCAGGGAACTTCTTAAGACTATTTCTACATTCAGGTTTGCCAGAAGACTGGACTATCATACCTTGCTCCATTATTTTTACTGGTTAGTGAGTACAACGCACCAGTGATTTAATTCGACCTTTCCGAAGGTACTAGATGAAGTAACTGGTCTCTACCTCTGGAGTCAGCCCCCGGGGGGGCTGGGAACGTGTCTGTCAAGTTCCTGCAAGGTCTCACGTGCATCTGCTAAATAAGCGGTTAATCAATGAATCAATAGCAACTGCTCCAATGCTGGGTATTTTGCCGAGTGCCAGAGGCTGCACTAAGCAGCGTTTTGCATAATTAGCTCTGTTAATTCTCCAACAACTGCTTTGCAATAAGTTGCATTGTTAACCCCACTGTTAAAGCGGAGGAAAACGAGGCACTGAGAAGTTAAATAATTGGCTTAAGAGGACCACAGAGCTGGTAACCAGCGCAGCTGGGCCCCAAGCTCCCCGGATCCCGCACGGCTCCCCTGTGTACGGCGGCCAAGCCCAGGCGTCCGTGTTTGCACCCCAGGAGCCCACATGCCAGCTGGGAACTCCTGGAGAGCCAGACTCAAGGACCCCTCACACCACCAAAGACCGGACGTCAGTGGCGATGGGCTGAGCCCTGTTCCCGAGATCAAGGGCTGCGTGGGAACCCCGAGACGGGCCACCGGGAGAGAGAGGCTGCGGTCAGCTCCAGGGGATGCCCCAGTGCTCAGCCAGAACAGAGCAGGGTGAGACTTGGCGTGCTTAGCAGAGTGAGACTGGAGGTGAGTCTGCACTGGTTCAGAACACGGCATGGGGGGCCCCCTGGCCCCCGCTTTAGGATGCGGCACCGGACCGAGATGTCCTCGTCGCTTTTGTTTTCTTTTGATGTCCTTTATGGCATCTGTTTTTTTTTTCTGGAACCATCTGGCTCGAGGAGCTCTGTTTATGCGTTTGGCTTCAGAGTGCCCCTGAGCGCCGAAGATCTTGGGGCTACACGCCCAGCACTGAGGAGGGGCGTGAACTCTGTGGACTCCTAGGAAGATGAAAAGAAGCCTCTGGCACTTAAAAGATGGACTGGGACACCGAGAAGGGAGGAGACGGCTCAGACTGGGGCGGGTTCCGGTCTGCCCTGCCCTGTGTGCTCAGGGAAACGGGCGCTTTTCAGCCCTGACACTGAGGAGCCTGCTGGGCCTGGTCCCGCTGGGGCCCCTGGGCCGAAGGGAAGGAGGCCCCCGCCCGTCGGGTCACCGTGTTTCCAGTGGAAGAAAACCGGACCGCCACAACCTGACGAGGCGAGCTGGCCCGAGGAAGGAGGTTACAAGTTTGGCGTCACCACACAAGCTTGTCCAAGTGGAGAGAACCAGATTAATGCGGCGCGAGACTTAGAAAGAGGAAATGCAGTTAGAAGCCCCAAGTCGGGCAGTCAAGGGCAGGGGGTGGGGAGGGAGAGCAGGGAGGAAGGAGGAGCCTTGAAATAAGAAGCCACTGTTATGTTCAGGCCTCTGCAGGGGAAACAGTTGCAGAACTGGTCTGGTGATGACATCTCAGTGAACAAAAGAATGCTGAGCATGAAGGGGACCTGAGAGGGGCTGAGGTGACCCCAGGACCCGTGCCTGTCCCAGGGTCTGCCAGGTCCTTTGTTCTCTGTCCTTCCGGCTCCCGGGGCGGCCGAGGCAGAGGACAGACAGTCATGCTTCAGGCCTCCCCAGCTTCAGCGCTCCCAGAGCCCTTGCAAGGGCGGAAGTTTCTATTGGTGCCGTGGATTTTTCGCTCTGAGATGACACTTTCTGTGTGTGAGCACAGACACACATCTGTGCACTTAGGTGACCTGTGCAAGGAATGTTCCAGAAAGCCGACAGCCTGGTGGCAGGGAGTGGGGGGGGGACCAGCGCTAGGGGGGCCTGGGGGCTCCTGGCTCCGTCAGCAGGAGCGTGCTGGAATCTTCCTGCCCCAGCGCGGGGCACATCCTCTCCTTCACACACCCACTCACCAGGAGCACAGGCGGCCATTGTCCCCGCCGCCCAGGCCGCCACGCCCTGCTCCAGGACAATGCCTGCCCAGCACGGCCGCGCAGAGCTGGTGATTTCCTTTCCTATTTATTTCCTCCTCTGCACAGGAGGGCATGGAATGAAGGGCTGTTTTTTTTGAAACAGGACGATTTACAGGGTGTTTACCGATGACATACTCACTTTCAGTCTCTTTCCACTGGGGTTTTCCTAATCTCCAAGGGATTATACAACAGATAGGAATTTGGTACACAACACAGGTAAAACAGGTTCCAGAGAGTTTGGATTTTCAGTCATCGCGTATCTCTTTAGGTCACGACTGCGTCTGTCTGAGCAGGTCCTCTGCTGCTCAGAGGGCCAGCCATGTGACACCACCACGCCAGGAGTTCTTACGAATCTAGAAGCGAAGGGTATGTCCTAACAACCGACAGGTCCTTTCTTAAAACGGCGACTTGCGTGTTTACGACTTCAGCCACTCACCCTTCTGGGCACAGTCAGTATTCAGTTAGCACCTACCTTGTGAGAGCTCAAACTAATTTTAAGAAATCCTTATCCACCAAGAGTGCACCGTTTGGTCAAAGGAGAAAGGCAGACACAAATGCATATGTACAACATTATAGTCAGCGTCACAACAGAATTATGTGCGGCATCTGACAGAGACACAACGGAAGGAGTGGACATTCCAGGGCGCGCGAGGTCAGTCACTGAGCTGGCCCCAGGATCCTGGGAGGTGGCCCAGGGCTTAGCTTTTGGTGTGTGCACTTGAGCGTGTGCCAGCGTCTGGCCCTGAGATGCTGCAGGCCCCGGGGGTCGTGGCACCAGGGACCACCCATCTTTGAAACAGGAGACTGAGCCGATGGGACCTGCCTCGGTGTGGGTCGCCGTTTCTGTAATCAACTATTTCTCCCTGGATGTGTTTTGCTCGTTTCCCTTTCTACAACAATGCCCTTTGCGGTGAGAAGAATACCTCATATTTGATTCGGTGGCGCTGTGCACTGGCCTGGGAGATGCCCCCTGGCATTCAGTGAAGGCATTTTCCCTGCTGGCACCGCGGCCAGGGAAACCTTACCACTTCAGTTGGTCGGTAGTATTTGAGGTCCACAGTCACGTGCACTTTTCCGGTCTCTTTGCATCTGCCCACTTCATTTTCATTCTTTCCTTCCCACCTGGAAAGAAGATAAACACTTAATCAGCCTCTAATTGCTTGGGAGCACTATGCCAAGACGTGGTCCCTCTTTGGCTTGCCTGCTCCCTGGGGAGCATCGAAGCTCATTAACTGCAGGAGTGTGGACGGGTCCTCGGGCACCAGAGTCTTCCAGAAGCCTTTCTGAAAGGGTGCTGCCTTATCCCCATCTTTTTAGGAACATGACAAGCGGCTCAGAAACGAGCATTTAGACAAACAGATCCATAGAAATAAGGAATGGGGTGGTTTTTAGGGATTTCAAAGACCTTGCACTACTTTGGACTATTCTTGATGAAGTCACTTTGCTGTGAGTTCATGTCTCTGTCTCTTCAGTTTTGTTTTATAGCTTTAGGGGAGTTGATTGTACTTATTCTACTTTGGAGTAAGTCTCAGACCCCGACTGACCATTCGTTTCATTTAACATTTAACTTCTTTGCTCTACTAGCCAGCTCCCCAGGCTTCACTAATAATCATAGATAATTAGGGCTGGAGGAAGCACAGGGTTCATTTCTTGCTACCAGGAAGTCTAGCAGCCTCTCATGGCCTCCTCCTATTCACCTCTGATGCCATTTGGACTCGAGTTCTTCTTCCTTTACACCCGCCAGTGACAACAGGTAAGGCCCCCAGTGACCATCCTCAAGCCCACACTGCCACTGTGCAGGATAAGCTCCTGGCTCTGACACCACCATCTTGATGGTTTTCCGTTTCATGTTCGCACTTTTAAAGAATCAAAGCCACTGGCTTAATGTTGACCCCTGGTTTCCCTCTATGAATTTACAAATACCAGAAATTACTGTATAATTTGAGTTATTTTGACAAACGAAGCTTTGGGGCAAAAGAGAGGGAAGGAGTAACAAAGGAATGTTTGACTTCATTGCTTATCCTCAGAGCTCGTTTGCTTTACCAGCTGGAGAGGAATCCTGGGACGGGACCACGCTGTGTCTCCTCCATCAGTGTAAGGAAGGGGAGCGAAGGAAGGGCGAGGGTGTGAAGCTAGTTATTCCATGATGCGCTTCGTGCTCCCCACCAAAGATGAATCGCAAATGGCGATCGTGGTGATATATTGGACATGGGTCGGGGATAAAAGATATAAGCTGGCCTCACAGGCTTTATTTTTGATCGCCTACTAGAATGTTTTCTCAGCTCGCTTCTCCTAACCAGGATAACAATTCACCATTTGAAGGACTATACGTTCCTAAGGAGGCTGAATTTGCCAGTGGCCTCCAAGCAAATACACCAACATCTCAAACACAAGGAGTCACACAGGGTATATCGGAGAACACCAAGCCAGCAAATGCCATGTTCCCAGGGTGTTTGCGTGAATCAAGTGACCTAAAACGGTGCATCTTGATTTGTCAGGCAAATCAGGCTGATTAGTCAGGCCTGCTAAGGCTGGGGATTTTAAGCAAAGCAATGGCAGGATCGGGGTGAAACTTTTGGAAGGTGTACCTATATCTATATTTTGGAAACTAGAATCCCAATACACATCTCTTATGGTTAAAAGCCAGAGCTTGGGTGATATTTACAGTAAGAAAGAATCACGAGTAATGCGGCAATTTAAAAAATAGTACCTAATTCTCAAGTTAATGGTGTAAGTGGAAACACTGCTTTGGTTAGACTTTCAGTAAGCGAAAGGTTATTTATCTCCTAAGTTTGTTTTAATTTTGTTCACCCTTTCTATTCAAGAGAGAAACTCAGTATTTCCAACTCCGTCAAAAGCGTTCACAGAGCATTGTTCACAGTCTTGCTCTTGTTTGCACTCATAGCGTGGCGGATCACTGATTGGGGTTACGCTGACTTCTCCACAGGGAGGCATAACTCTGCCTCTCCTAGGACTCTACTCCGGTGCCACAATTCAAGAAACGGAGGTTCAGATGTATCCACGAACAATTCAGATTTCTGGAACCCACACGTGAACGCACACACACGCACACACACACGCACTGAAATGGAAAACATCTTGGGGAAGACTTGGAGAGGTTGTCCCGGCAGGGGCGCGAGCATTGGGGCGGCAGAGGAAGGTGGCGACCGGAGGTATCTTTGGGAAAGAACTGGCACAGTTTCGGTAAAAAGCCAGAAAAGAAATATTTTTGGTGTACGGTTGCCCTGAATCTTCCTGTCCCCCTCTCCCTTTTGCTTTCTCTCCTCTTTCCCTTCTCCTCTCCCGTCTTCTCTTCTTCATCATCACTTTTTAAAATTACTATTATTTTTAAACTATCCTTATGTTCTTGGAGGGCAGTCAAAGGGCGGGGTTGCTCACCCCGCATGGGAGGTGAGTTTTCTGAGCTGCCCCCCTCAAGCGAACAGAAGGCCTTCCTTCCTGTTCACACCAGCCAGCTCTGTCGCCTGCATTTTCCAGTGTCCTGCTCATCTGACTGCTGTGTAGTCAGATGCTAATAGTTGGGATTTACAACTGCCGTTGAAACAACAGCAACGTAATAATAACTGAAAAGCAGGGCTGGAAGCTGTCAGGGCTGAGCGTGTGGTGCTCAGGGCCCCGAGAGACGAGCTCAGGGCGCACAGGCCTCGGTTCCGGGCGGGAGCTGGTGGCGGCGCCATCTTGCAAACGCCGTCCGGCCCAGACGGCCTCTGAGGGCAAGGCACTGCCCGCGCGGGGAGTACGCGGCGCGATAGCCAGCGGTAACCAGCAAAGGGCTCAAGGCTGAACTGAGCTGGCAAAACCCACTTTCTAATTTGCACTCGGTCTGCAGGAGGGCACTAAGGAAACGTTTCGGCCAAGGGCCAAAAAACATTCAGTTACAACAATACACGAAACACTTGTATTAACAAGTAAGAGGTAACAGCTAACTTGTCCTAACAAGCAATGTTATGATTCAAAGCAGAGCTGCCAGGTTCATGAAACGAAGGCGGCCTGACAGAGTCGAGGATTCGGCTAATGAACAGGCATGGCTACCCATCCCGGATAAGTCAACCTCTAAAAGAAATGACGGTACCTCATACGCATTAAAGGGCAATAGAAACTACTGAGGAATAACAGAATCGAGCACACCTGGGCAAGAGGAGGTGCTATTAAAATCTACTCAACTAGGAATCCCTTTGAGGAACAACAAAAGCAAAGTGAAAATCAAGTTTGGGAGACTGAAAGTAAACGCTGGGGAGGTAAGAGGCAGAGCCTCAGAGCGGCACCAGGATCTCTCAGATGGCCCCAGCCATTATTTTAAGAAGCACTATTTGATCAGACACAGCTCTGGGAACAGGAGGTGGCCAGCGGTGAAAACTGGGCCGATGACACGAAGCAGTGCTGCAAGCGGGGGGATTCTGGATAAAGATGGTGGCTTGCATGCACTTTTGCTCCTCCCCCAGGTCCCTGTCAGTAAAGGAATAAACTCACAAGGGCCAGAGGAATGGGTAAGAGGAAGGAGAACCATGTTTTGGGAGTCGGAGTGGCGACTGACAAGTGTGGGTGACTGAGGCCTAGCCCGGCCCTGGGGCAGCAGTGGGGAGGCCCCGTATGCTTAGGATTGAGGGCTCATGACCATGCTCCTTACGAAAAGTCTGACCCCCACACCCCCAGATTCTACATGGTCACTGCCTCACCTTCCCTGAAGAGAGTCATAGACAGAAGGTCTGGGATCCAGCGAAGAGTGGGGTGACTTGTCAAAAATAAGGATGACGTGTGCATCGCAGGTATGTGGAAATTGCTCCTCTCCTTCCAGGGAGGGGGTGGAGGACTTAGCTCTGGGCTCACGGCTTATAACTGACTCCCGGTCCTGTCACCTAGGGACGCAGCCAATTCTGTCCTCAAAAATACCCAATGAGTCCTCCCTGGTGGCACAGCCGGTTAGAGCACAGCACTAAGAAGAAGCTAAAGCCGCTTCCGCATGAGTTCGATCCCTGCCCCGGAGGTGACCACAGGGCGCGGCAGACCTCTCCTGACCCGCCCGCTGCTCCCCTCAGCATTGTGCTTCCTTCATCTGCCCGTTCTGCTCCCCGCTCTGTCTCTGGGGAAGCCTCTCCGTGCCCCTGCACCTCTGGCCTGTACCCCAGTTCTGTATGCATAAGTAAATAAATCTTAAAAAAAAGTGCGCCTCCTCTTTCAAACAGGCGCAGAAAGCCGAGGGTTGCCAGACACATGAGCGAGACCACCTATGTGAAAGACAGAAATCAGAACAGAATGAAAAGTATCCACATGGGGCAACTAGAAGAAGGACAATATAATGGAAAAGTGATCTCCTCATCGGACAAGACAAGATAGAAAGGAACTAGAAGGGGATACCATGTAAAGAGACACGACTTAAAAAAAAAAAAAAGATTTCAGAAATCGAAAAAAAATGCAGAAGGTAAAAATTCGAGAGAAGATTGTGAAGTTAAAGCTGAGACACTCTGCCAGGCGGTAGAGTGGAAAGATGTCAGTATGAAAAACCATGAGGATGGTGCCGAAAGTGAAGAAGGAAGAAGACCTTGCTCCTTCCAAAGCTGAAGCCAGAGCAAAAGCTTGACGGCTTGCTGGGTGATCTGCAGCCACAAGGAAAACCCACCTTCTGAGGGCTGAAGACCTGCAGCCCAAGAGCACCCACATTTCCTGGGAGCAGTGCCCCAGGAGATACCAGCTTGACCCTGTGCCATCACCAAGTGCCTCTGATCACCGAGTCGGCTGTAAAGAGGAGAGAAGACAGCACACCCTGTGTTCACAGTGTGTGAACATTTAGAAACATGGAGGTAAATGCCAAAATAATCAGCCGAAAGACTATATAACAGAACACAATAGGGTTTCCAGACAGAGAACAGGCCAAGAAGCACCAGGGCGAACAGCTGGTGAAGCATCTCCATGACACTGACTTGGCCAGGATCAACCCTTGACCAAGCTGATGGAGAAAAAGAAGGCGTATCAGTGGCTCCTAGGGTGCTTTGCATGTGGCCGACAAAATTGGGGTTCTCTATCCTGAGTGCAGCTGGATGATTCTAAATATGATTTTTTTTTTTTCACCAGGGGGAAAAAAAGAAAGAAAAGAAAAACCAGGA